ATCTTTGTGCACTCCCAGTATGTTTTCTTTTTCTCTCTTTTTTTTTTCTTTTTTTTTTTTTTTTTTTTTTTAAGATTTTTGCTATAGGACGTGTGCATTTGCCAGAGAGACAGAGAGTGAGAAGTCACCCCTGAGGGGGAATGGTCATGCCGCAATCCCTTCTCCTCCATTCTCCTCTCTGGATCCTGGGCACGCACGCACACACACTTGGTGTGAATTTCAAGCCGCCAGGTTCAGGACTTGAACTGCAGTTGACTATGTGGGAGTCAGCAGCGTAGCCACTACTGACTGCGTAGTTTGTGTCCTGGACCCTGCATCTTTAACACACTTGATGTGTGTATGTGTTTGCCCAACATTTGGAAAAATAGAGAAAAAAGGACTGCTGTGTGGTCATGTGGTCATGCCCTGTGGGAGATGATTTCTTACTTTCCCTCTCTCTCTCTCTCTCTTTCCAGCAAGTGCACACACCCTCTAGCAAATTTTAAAATCATAATAATATATTCCCTAATCCACAATGCACACAGTATAAGCTATGTATAGGAACCCCATGGGACATTTGCAGCCCTTCCATTTCTGCATTTGGGCTGATGTGGGTTATGCTGTTTGGGGGAGTTGGGGAGACAAAGTCAAATCATCTGGATAAATTGGTGAGAAAAGAGATGCGCCTTCTCCCCACATTCTCGGCATTAAAAAAAAACTCATATGCTTAAATTCCAGGTAATGTCTGAAGGTGGTCCCCAGCCTCAATCCATCATTCACTTCTCCATCAGTAATCAGACTGTGGCTGTTGTTAACAGGAGAGGGCAAGTTACAGGGAAGGTGGTTGGCACAGCTGTGGTCCACGGCACCATCCAGACAGTGAATGAAGATACTGGCAAAGTCATTGTGTTTTCCCAGGTATTGGCTCTTTGCTCTGCTCTGCATCTACTCATCCATCTGGGAACTGTATGGAGGCTACAGGAGTAGGGAAAAGGGTGTCAGCAGCCAGGAAAGCCCTGTCTGCCCCTGTCACCTGGAATTCTCTTAACCTGGCATAGAAACGACATCATCTTTAGGGAAAAACCTGCAGAGTACTTGGCATTGTTATAAGGCGTATCCCTATCCTTAAGGAATACTTTAAAGAACAAACCTGAATATATCTATGGTGTGAGTTTTTTATTTTTCTATCAAATGCCAAAACCACAAGCTATTTTTAAAAATTATTCATTTAATTTTATTTATTACTATAATTTTTCAATTTGACCAGAGAGAGATCGAGAGAGAAAGTAAGAAAGCAAGCCACCAGGTCCAGGACTTGAACCATGGTCAGCCATGTGGGAGTCCAGTGCCTTAGCTTCCATACCACCTGCCAACTCCCAAAACAACAAGCTACTAATAGGTGTCATCAGCATCTCTGTCCACCCCACAGAAACTCTCTATTAGCCTAAGCTTGTTCTCCACCTTGGCGAGCAGGATGAAGTGCAGATTGAAGTTGTTCAGCTAAGGGCTATTAGGATCCTGGCAGCTGCAACGCGACTCATCACAGCTACTGAGGTCAGTGGGATGCCTCTGTTCTGGGTTCATTATTCCAGTAATGCCAGCTAGGTGGGGTATAGAGCATAGCATTTCTTTTCTTTTTTCTTAAATAATTATTGTAATTTTTATTTATCACCATTATTATTATTTTTAATTTGCTGCAGGGCATGTATGCTCACCAAAGAGAGAGAGAGGGAAAGTGAGAAAGCAAGCCACCAGGTTTGGGACTCGAACCACAGTCAGCCATGTGGGAGTCCAGTGCCTTAACACCACACCACCTGCTGGATTACACCCCCTCTCCGTTATTTTTAACATTTATCTACTTGCTTCTCTATGAGCAAGAGAGGGAGAGAAAAGAGACAAAGAAACAGACACCAACCCTAACAGTTCTAATACCATGATCCACTGCCAGCCTTAGCCAGCCCTGGATTATGGACACATGCAAGTCTAGCACATTCAGGGAGGTCTCGAAAAAGTGAACCCCAAGCCTTCCTACGTAGGTCAGCCTCGCAGAGCATCACATTTTACTGCTGCATCAAGATAGTTTTGATGATGGGACCAGCAGTTAACATAATGGCTATGTCGCTGGACTCTCACGTAGTCGACCGCGGTTCGCGTCCCAGACCCAGTGGCTTAAACTCACGCCGGGCACGTGTGCGTGTGTGCCCAAGATCCCAAGAGGAGAATGGAGAAGAAGGGATTGTAACATGGTCATCCCCCCTTGGGGGTGATTTCTCACTTTCTGTCTCTCTCTCTATGTCTGGCGAGCGCACACGCCCTATAGCAAAAACCTCTTAAAAAAAAAAAAGATAGTTTTGATGTTTTCATACACTAGCATACACCACTTTTTTTTTCAGATGCCAGTTTATGTCATGGGAGTGACCAGTACCCAGACCCCTTTCTCCTTCAGCAGTGCCAACCCTGGGCTCACATTCCACTGGTCCATGAGCAAAAGGGATGTATTGGATCTGGTGCCCAGGCATTCAGAGGTATGAATCTATCTGTTAATTATATTTCCTTAGGGATCTATTCATTTTTTTATCAATTTTCACTCATTTTAAACTTATTGACTCTCTTTCTAAACTACACAATATTGTTACTTTTCTTATTGTTCCGTGAATCTGGAACCCTGCAAATCACATGAAGAATCCAAATTTGAATACTCACATAATATTGTATGATTTTAATATGTTTTGCTTAAAAGGGATTTCAAAAAACTCTTTCCTTTAGAACTAGCAGTTAGCGTAATGGCATGTCGCTGGATTCCCATGTAGTCTACCGTAGTTCGAGTCCCAGACCCGGTAGCTTAAACTCATGCCAGGTGCATGTGCTTGTATGCCCAAGATCCCAAGAGGAGAATAGAGGAGAATGGAGAAGGGATTGCGGCGTGGCCTTCTCCCCTGAGGGGTGATTTCTCACTTTCTGTCTCTCTGTCTCTCTCTGTCTTTCTGGTGAGCGCATGCGCCCTATAGCAAAAACCTCTCCCCCCCTATGACAAAAACCTCCCCCCCTAAAAAAAAAAAAAAAAAAGTCTTTCCTTTAATATCATGTTGTAGAATGTCAGGGCCAGCAGGTGGTATGGTGATTGGGGCACTGGATTCCCACATGACTGACTATGGTTTGGATCCTCGACCTGGTGGCTTGCTTTCTCGCTTTCACTCTCCCTCTCTCTTTCTCTCTGATGGGCTCATGTGCCCTATAGCAAATTAAAATAATATAAATAAAATTTTTAAAAAGAATGTCGTGGGAACCAGCAGTTAGCATAATGGCTATGTCGCTGGACTCCCACGTAGTCGACCGCGGTTCGCGTCCTGGACCTGGTGGCTTGGAACTCACGCCGGGCGCGTGTGCGTGTGTGCCCAAGATCCTGAGAGAAGCGTGGAGGAGAAGGGATTGCAGTGTGACCATCCCCCCTGGGGGATGATTTCTCGCTTTCTGTCTCTCTGTCTCTCTCTCTCTCTGGCGAGCGCACGCGCCCTACAGTAAAAAACCTCTCACAAAAAAAAAAAGAATGTTGTAATGATATTATGATCTGATGACTATATTGTAGAATAATCCATTATGAATATAAAGTACATATGCATGGAGTTTCAATAAACAATAAAACCTTTTAACATGTCAGACACACATATAATTACATTCACCGTCATGTCAGTGTTGCACGATGGACGGCCGATGGTGAGAAAGGTGGATGTAGAAGGCTTATACATGCAGATGGCACCATGATACCAAGCAGGTTCCTTGGTCCTGCCCTACCAAGCACTGAAGAACTGGAATCCCATGTCAGGCCTGTCACACAGCATGTGTACCATAGGGCTGTTGTGACCCACCAACTCGCAGTTGATTCTGGACTATTGTGCCTATGTCAAAGGCAAATTTAAAAAGGACGATTAATTAAACTGCACCTCCATAGTTCCCCGTGGGTATCTGGGGTTGTTGGCTCCTCCCAATTCTTTTTTTTTTTTTTTTTTGGGGGGGTTTTTGTTTTGCGGGCGGTGAGGATTTTACTATTGGGCATGTGCTCTCGCCAGAAAGACAGAGAGAGACAGAGAGACAGAAAGGGAGAAACCACCCCCTGGGGGGATGGCCACACTGCAATTCTCTTCTCCTCCATTCTCTCGGGATCTTGGGAATCCACGCACATGCTCCCAGCATGAGTTTAAGCCACCAGGTCTGGGACTCAGACTGTGGTCGACTACATGGAAGTCCAGCGATGTAGCCATTACACCATCTGCTGGTCCCTCCTCCCAATTCATTACCTGCTAGAACTATGATCTACAACCATGGAAGCACTCAGGATAGACACGGAGAAAATCCATACTGCAAATCAAGATTTTATGTTTCCGAAAATAGTGTTGATGTTTTCATACACATGGCATTAAAACTTATACTGCAGCCTGAAAAAGTCCAGCTGGCCCTGTGCCTAGTGGTTAAGGGAGTCATGCCACATCCCACATGGTTAACGAGAGTTCAAGTCCCAGCCCTGATGGCTTAAAACATTCGCCAGGCATATGAATATGCATGCCCAAAGTACCAACAGGATGGAGAAAAGGAGGACAAGGGACTGTGGCATGACTGTGCTCCAGGGGTGCATTCTTCCTCTCCTTCTCTTTCTGACAACTTCCCATTCGGGGAGTTCTCTCTCTCTCTCCCATGTACCCCCTCTGGCAACTAAAAAAGAAAAAATATGAAAAAGACAAAAAGAGAAACTTTACCTAGTTCACAGCATTGTTATTGGATCATAAGTAGGATGGAACTCACTCAAGGTGATCTAGGACAGGCAATCACCTAAGTCTGGACCTGGACTTCACCTTAGGTAAAAACAACTTATGGGGCCAGCAGGTGGTGTGGTGGATAAAAGCATTGGATTCCCACATGTCCGACCACGGTTCGAGTCCCAGACCTGGTGGCTTGCTTTCTCTGGTTCCCTTTCTCGCTCTCTGGTCAAATTTTAAAAAGGAATAATAATAACAAATGGAATTAAATAAATAATAATTATTTTTTTAAAAAAAGGGGACTAGGTTGCATGATGGTTAAGGCGCTGGACACTCCCACATTGGCCGACCATGGTTCAAGTCCTGGACCTGGTGACTTGCTTTTTCACTTTCCCTCTCTCTCTCTCTCCCTCTGTGTCTCTCTATAGTCATATTAATATAAGTGAATTAATAAATAAAATTAAATAATTATTTAAAAAATGATTATACCTATGACCAAGATAACCAGTAGGTCACTCAGTGCCCATGAAAATAAAGAATTAGAATTAGGTCTTGGGAAAGAGCAGAGATGTTGCAGGAACTACGATTACAAGGACAGTTCTAGGGCCAGCTAGAAATGGGAGGAACCTGGGGGGAAATGTCTAAAAATCTGTAACCTTGCCAACAACTTTATAAACCTATCATCTAGGAAAACTGGTGGTTGGGTCTTCTATCTGCCAGGGACTTTTTAGAGCCTGGTTATCCTTGGAATTGAGGGATGAAACTGTGCTTAGTTTGGTACAATTAGGCAAAGGGATTTAACTTTCTTTCTTGAACAGTGATAGTGGTTGTGTGAAAGGAGAGAATGGCCTATGCCTTAGCCTCTGCTCTACTTCTCCTTTCCTTCTATTTTCTTTCTTCTTATTATTATTGTAAAAGTGTACTATAGGGTGTGTGTACTCACCAGAGACAGAGAGAGAAGAAAGAGACAGAGAAAATTAGAAAGTCCCCCTCCCCCAGGGTGGATGGCCACACTGTCATCCACTCTCTTTCTTCTCTTTCTCTCTTTCTTCTCTTCCATTCTCTTCTCGGGATTTGGGGCTCACATGCACACAAGTCACTCATTCCAGGACTCAAATTGTGCAATTGTCCATGTGGAATCCAGCTTCCTAAACTTCCAGGGCACTGGCTCATCTATCTTCTATTTTCTTGTCTAAAGCATCACTCTTTTCTCTAACAGAGGAAATAGTGTAAAGCTATGCAAATGTTTTCTTTTTCTGCCTCAGATCCAGCAGAGGCAAATTTGGTGAGGATATGAGCAATTAAAAGATCTTCATGTCTTGGGACTAGCAGTTGGCATAATGGCTATGTCGCTGGACTCCCATCTAGCCAACTATGATTCGAGTCCCAGACCCGGTGACTTAAACTCACGCCAGGTGCATGCGTGCCCAAGATCCCAAGAGGAGAATGGAGGAGAAGAGATTGCAGCATGACCATCTCCCCTGGGGGATGATTTCTCGCTTTCTGTCTCTTTGTCTCTGTCTTTCTGGCGAGCACACGCACCCTGTAGCAAAAAACTCTCCAAAAAAATTTTAAAAAATGATCTTCAACCCTCATACAAGGTAGATTTCCTACACTGTAGAAATACCACCATTTCTTAACTTGGATTAAACAGTTATAACCACTTATTCTTTTTTTCCCTCTCTCTTTGTCTCTCTGGTGAGTGCACATACCCTATGGGAAAAAAATCTCTCTTAAAAAAAAAAAGAATCATTCGGGACCAGCAGATGGTGTAATGACTATGTTGCTGGACTCCCATGTAGTCAACTGTGGTTCAAGTCCTGGACCCAGTGGCTTAAAACAGCCCAGGTGTGTGTGCGAGCATGCCCAAGATCCCAAGAGGAGAATGGAAGAGAAGGGATTGTGGCGTGGCCATCCACCCTGGGGGTGATTTCTCGCTTTCTGTCTCTCTGTCTCTCTGTTTCTCTCTTTCTGGCGAGCGCACATGCCATATGGCAAAAACCTTTGCACAGAAAAAACTATTTATTTAATTATTATTTATTATTATTATTATTATTTTGCTATAGCACACATGTGCTCACCAGAGAGAAATGGAGAGAGAGAGAAAGTAAGAAAGTAAGCTGCCATGTCCAGGTCTTGAACTGCAGACGGTCATGTAGAAGTCCCCCACTTAACCACTATGCCACCTGCTGGCCCCTAACCACTCATTCTTTTTTTTTTTTTAAGAGATTTTTTGCTATAGAGTGCATGCACTTGCCAGAGAGACAAAGACAGAAAGTGAGAAATCACCCCCCATGGGAATGGGCATGCCACAATCCCGTCTCCTCCATTCCCCTTTCAGGATTTTGGGAACTCACACACATGCACCTGGTGTGAGTTTCAAGCCTCCAGGTCTGGAACTCGCAGCCTGCCATGTGGGAGTCCAGTGACATAACCATTATTCCATCCGCTGGCCCCCAATTCTTTTTTTGTTTGTTTGTTTGTTTTTGAGAGGTTTTTGCTTTAGTGAGCGTGTGCTCGCCAGAAAGCCAGATAGAGACAGAGAGACAGAAAGTGAGAAATCACTCCCTGGGGGGATGGCCATGCCACAATCCCTTCTCCATTCTTCTCTCGGGATCTTAGGCACGCACACACACATGCCCGGCATGAGTTTAAGTCACGAGGTCGGGGACTCGAACCATGATTGACCACATGGGAGTCCAGCAACATAGCCATTACGCCAACTGCTGGTCCTGCTGGTCCCAATTCTTTAGCATGACATTTAGCAGACAACTGAGATTTGCACCAAGGAAATAGGTTTTATTTCTAAGTTTATTGATTTCTTTCTTCTGTGAATGAGAGAGACAGGGAGAGAGGGAGAGATGGAGAGCTAGGAACCCCCAACATAGTCTACAGGCTGTGATCCACCCCCAGCCCAGATTATGAGCCCATATGCATCCAGCATGTTCACAGAGGTCACTGGACCCAAACCCAGACCCTCCCCATGTGGGTCAGCCTTGCAGAGCATTGTTTAACCACTGGCACCACCATTTGGCCCCCATAGAAATGGGTGCTTTCATATAGAGGAAAGATGATTTTGAAACTTTGGACTCTACTGTGAATCAAGAAGACTAGAAGGAAGGTCTTGAGGCCTGCAGACAACAAGAAGGCGGGGAGATAGGACATGAAATTCATGCTGAAATGTACTTCAATATGTGCCTGAGTGTTGACCATACCTTCCCTATGACCAGAAATCTGTCAGGTTCTAATCTTTCAGACCCTTCTAGTCTGAAATTATTATTATTATTATTATTATTTTGCTGTAGGGCATATGTGCTCATCAGAGAGAAATGGAGAGGGAGAGAGAGGGAGAGAAGCAGGGAGATGGTTGACTGGTTTTAGCATAGTCCTAAAAAGGGAGTTCCTTTTTATTGACCTCATGCTTCCTTGCCACAACCTTGAGCTCCATGAGTAGATTGCCTCACTCAACCCCCAGCTTAGGTTCTGCTGTCTGAATCCATTTTAGAAACCACTTCCAGGGGGCAGCAAGTGGCGTGGTGGTTAAAGGCACTAGACTCTTCCCACTTGGCCGACCATGGTTTGAGTCCAGGACTTGGTGGCTTGCTTTCTCACTGTCCCTCTCTCTCTCTCTCACTCTATCCCTCTCTGGTCAAATTAAAAATAAAATAAATAGGGACCAGCAGTTGGTGTAATGGCTACATCGTTGGACTCCCATGTAGTTGACCACAGTTTGAGTCTCAGACCTGGTGGCTTAAACTCACACCAGGTACATGTGCATGCATGCCCAAGAGAAGTAGAGGAGAAGGAATTGCAGTGTGGCCATCCCCCCAGGGGGTGATTTCTTGCTTTCTGTCTCTCCCTGTCTCTGTCTTTCTGATGAGCGCACACACCCTATAGCAAAAGACTCTCCAGTAAATAAAAAGTTAAATAAAATAATCCTTTAAAAAAAAAAAAGAAAGCAACCACTTTTGTCATTTTCATTCTTCTATAATTAACTGATTTCAAGATAACATAAGAGTGAATCTTGAGGGACCAGCAGATGGAGTAATGGTTACATGACTGGACTCTCACATAGTCAACTGAGGTTCAAGTACTGGACCCAATGGCTTAAAACTCCCACCAGGCTGCATGCATGACCACAATCCTGAGAACAGAGGAGAAAGGATTGTGGCATGGCCACCTTACCCAGAGGGTGATTTTTTGTTTTCTGTCTGTCTCTCTGTCTCTCTGGCAAGCATACGTGCCCTATAGCAAAAATCTCTCTAAAAAAAAAAAAAAAGAGGGGCCAGCAGATGGCATGGTGGTTAAGGGTGCTGGACTCCCACATAGCCGATTGTGGTTCAAGTCCCAGACTTTGCAGATTGCTTTCTTGCTCGCTCTCTCTCACTCTGTTCCTCTCTGGTCAAAATTAAAAATAAATAAATAAACGAGGGAACCAGTGCGTAGCATGGTGGTTAAGGCATGGTGGTTAAGACACTCCCACATGGCTGACCACGGTTTGAGTCCCAGACCTGGTAGCTTGCTCTCTTTCTTTTT